CACAATTTTTACTCATTTTTAAATTAAGTAGACAGCCTGCTCAAAGTGTAATTGGGGAACCCTGTAAGGCACTAACGTTTGGAATACTGCTACGTCCAAGGTCCCCTTTCTTCGAATGCCGAGGGTGTTAGAAAGCCAAACAAGAAAAGCAGTATTAGAAGCTCTCGATTTTGACCACCCTTGACTCCTTGTGATAGAGAGAGAGAGAGAGAGAGAGATGGAGAGTGCTCCCCTTGACAGTGCCAGCCATAAATCACAAAGACTTAGCCACCTCATATAGGTGCCAGCGTCTGCTCTACAGCAGTATCGTCTTGTGCAATCAAAAAGACGCCTCCTTGAGATTTCTTATTAATTAAGTAAAGGTAGAACTTTTGCTTTAATGTCTGTTGGCGGCTATTGACAGCATTTTGCTTCTATGAGGCATTTCTTTCAAAAGTGCAAAATGACTGGTGCTACCATCTTTAACTATTCATTGCAGCAGGTGCGAATAGAGCCTTAAGATGCTCACTACATCCCACTAAAGTGTTATTTTGTAAGTGAATATGCTTATATTTTCATTGTAATGATTAAATATGGGTGTGTTAGGTCCTTGTAAGAGTTGAGAGTTCGTAATGCAATGTCAATGTTCTTTTTAAGTAAGAGAGAGAAGACTCATCCCTTCAATTAAAAAGTAAAGAACTTTTAAAGGGACAATTTTGTTGAATCTCCTACAAGACCACAAGCAAATTGCCTTTCCTGAAGCGGACAGTAAGCGCAACTTTTATTTCTAATGTTAATTTTACAACAGATTAAGATTTGGATGATAACGAAGAAAGTTTGAGCTTATGCATCGAGGAATTTAGCTAAACTTGGTGCCATCACAGTGATTATTCAGCGGTGTGAAAGGTCGACTGGGAAATAATTTTCCGGTGAGCGGCTCCCAAATTAGGGGCTAGCGTAAACCAATCCAACGCTATGAAAGGTCTTGAAGTAGGGCTACTTTTTGATGCCAACGTCTACCCGCGAATGCGTCCGCTGTTATATAAGCGCTTTTAAGAAACACACGTCAATTCATATTTTTACGCATCTTCATGCAATATAAATTTCCCTCAACTCATAAAATGTGTGTTAAATAACAATGAGAAGATAGGTGGAGATGTATCTAGCTCTGAGGAAAATTCAATTCAGGAGCAACGCTACTGCAGATCCTACAGGTTAGCGAAGAATGATCCCTTGCTAACAAAGTGGTAGTTCTGGACTTTTAATATGCCATTTGCTATTAAAATAATAAAATCGTAAAACTCGACAACTTGTGACAAGGCTGACATTTCCGCTACGACGATTCCTGAAGAAAATCGACCCTAACAGACGTTCTGGTGGTTTATTCCCAGAACAGTAACAAGGTCATAGATACTTTTGCCAACTTCTACTTCTGCGCAAAACCTAACAGTAATGCTATTATTCTCAAAACATGTTAATCCTACTCCCATGTAATTGTCTGAAACAGCCAATCTGTGTGCGACACCACTTTGCACAGTCAATCGTCTTAAACAGATAAGCAACGTGTGTCGCGTATATGCGATGCCAGCAGAGGAGGGGTTAGGTAATTAGTTCTTTGGCATAAACACCCCAAGCTTTTGCTATGCCGTTTGACTAAGCGTTCAGGGGTATTCATGCTCGCTCAATGATTAAATCCACCGGACGTCTGAACATCGTCCATCGTGAAGGACCGGAACAGGAACCCCATCCCTTCCTTACACACACTGCTGGTGTAGAGCAGAGCTTTGTTTACACAACAAGCACCAAAGGCAGTATAAATTGCGCTAAATTAAAGTCCATAGATCCACTTTTCCAAGTGTAGACACCAGTGCTCATATTTGAGGTTTAAAGAAAAGAAGCTTTACAGAGGAATACCTTTTCTACAAATGTAAAGGAGGCAGAGGTGACGGTTAGTCTTGCCTATGAAGAGATGATTAAGGTTAATATGTTTGGGCTTTAGTAATTAGGACTAAAGTCGAGTTTTTAATGTCATTTGGTTTTGAAATGTCAAGGTCAGCAAGTGGCAAGGGGATTTTTATGGAGAAATCTATCTTGACATGAAGAAGCAATAAGAACGCTTTGACGGCTTTGTGCAGTAGACAGGACAGAGCAGCAGCTTGATCTCCATCGCATTAGAATTGACAACTCCAGTTCCTGTATTTACACAAAGATTTGTAAATCATAAAACCTGAATCAAGCTGAAAATAGTTCCAACTTGTAGACCAATCATGTTAAACAAACTTCCGCGTAGAGACCCCTCAGATTCGGTTACAGATGTGCGATCATAAAGGCAATGCAGTACCTCGATTGTTTATTTAACTTTCCGTTTAGGATACGCGGATACCAAAGGCTTCGCAATTGTACTTTCACTGAGCAGAACGGCCTCCGGGACATGCCAGTAGCCTCCAGGTCATCTCTACTTCCACAATACATATTCTGCCCAAGTATTATTAGTCTTGAGGGAAGCCTCGAAGCGTGCAGCAACTTCCTTTAATGTATTCTTTTACAACTCAAAATGAAAACCAGGTTGGTTGGAAATGTCATCGATGAATTTGGTAAACGCATATCTATCAGTGGCCGATCATTTTCAGTGTAGGCAACTGCAAATTCTCAAAATGGATATATAGACACAGCATATCACTGAATTCTATCTTTTTTACTTCTAAATACCGGATTCTTTAACAGACTTAGATTCAAGTTGCATATGCTTGACACGACACCCCGTGGCGCTCTCGACGGTGTCACATGCCAGTACGTAAGATAAAATACGAGTTCTCTGTCCATCATGCTTCAAATCGCATGGGTTGGGATTCATTGTCGTGGTACTACCATGGAAATACATCTGATATAATCACAATTTGAACATTTTGTTTTTTGTCTGTTTTGTTAGAACTGGAAGATTCACTTCGTCCTTTAAAATTTACCAAGCTGGAAAAATAATTAAAAGGATGTTCTACTGTTTAGTCAAAAGTACATTACGGATTTTTGAAATCTTTATGATATGAAAGTAATTAAAATATAGGTTACTGTAGCTCCCCTGATACTTTCCTGAAGATGAATTAAGACAATAATGCTCGGGTAGAATACGTACATTCGACACGGAGAAGGACGCGGGACTGCTGACAAAGGTACTCTCAAGGAGTTATAAGTAAATCGCTACCAGAACCGAGAGTTAAACAAACAAATAGCGTATTGCATGGCTCAGTGCCTCCAGAGGTTAATGCCCGGCGTCAGCTATCATAGCGCAATTGGTGCTGTAAGAAAAGAATGCACTCACCAACCGCACCAGTTATAGAATTTCCACACAACTGAGGAGGTACATGACCGCAACGTCACTGAACCCTCTTTACAATTCTGCTGGACCTGAAGTTCTGTTCTGTATGGAAATTGTATTAGGGAACAGGAAATATGGTGGCCATCACGCCTTCTCATGTGTAGTCCTTGAAAACCCGACACAAAAGTAGAGTCAAATAACAGAGAACAAGATTTTGCGCAGTTCTATGGGAGCAAGATTTTGCGTCTCTTTTTCCTCGCTACTTTGCTAATACTTTAGTGCTCTCCAGCCACGCCTTTCTGGGTTCTATTTACCTGGTAGAGAGGTGGAGGAGGTATCCCGAATTCACTTAAATGCCCTCTTCACGCAGGTAAGGCAGACAGCCCC